GGAGGACAAGCTGCTTCTGCACAGCCACCCGGCTCAATGTCACCCCCTCCTACCCCGGGATCCTTATTCCTGTTTAACGCTCATCAGGGTCCTCTGGTGACCCTGGAGCACCCATGAGCTGGCAATGTGGGGGTTTCTCCACTGGGAAGCCACTGGCCATTCCTATGTGTGCATCACTGTGTCTGAGTGTCCCAGAGCCTGCGGCACTGGCTGACCCCTGAGGACCTTGGTGAGGTCCACATCCCAACTCCCTGCTTTTGAACCGTCCTGCTCGTGGTCCTCTCTCCCACAGCCTTCCTGCAGCTGCAGCAGTTTTCCTTATGCAAGCGCCCTACGGGCTGCGCCTGGGAAAAAAACAGGCGCGTGGCTCGTTCCCAGGACAGGGAATCGTACCGTGCGCCTTCCCAAGCTGCTCCTTCTCTAGGGCTGCCTGTCCCCAGGGAGGAAGGGAGGTGGGGAAAGGGGCCGCCGGGCTCATTGCCGAACCCTTCCGCTGCTGAGAGGTTTTTCCCTGCCTCTTCCTAAACCCTTCCCCTGGTGCGCCTGGGAAAGCAGCACGCTGGGGTGGTGTGCACGGTACGGACTGTGAGTGCTCTGCTCTGGTCTGCAAACGCAATAAATGGTCCTTGGCAGGAAGCCCCCAGCTCCTTGTGGGTGTGAATTTGTACTCGGGGCATGGGAAAGGACACGTCATGCACTGGACACGAGCCCCCGCCGTCCCTGTGGCAGCGACCCGAGGATCAGTTTTCCATACCTGCTCCCTGGGCCCTGGGTTGGGTGTCTCACCCTGCTCTGCTCCCTCATTTTGGTGGCTTGCTCTCGTAAAGCAGCCAAGCAGACGGGGCGAGCGGCAAGTCGAGAAGGTTTATTATTGCAGCAGATACAACGAGGTGTTGCGGGAAGCCAGGTGGTCCTGCAGGAGAGAGGGGCTCCAGGAGCTCTGCTTGTTCTCACTGGTCTTCCTGACCCCACCATCTGTCCCACCAGCAGCTGGGGGTGGGTGCTCAGGGTTTTCCAACTTATGAGTCCTGCTGGTTGGTGGGGACCTTCAGCACCTCCCTGGAGGAGCAATCTGTGGCCAGGGATGGGCCCTGCGAGGTGGGACAGAGGGAGGAAGGATGGGGAACCAGGCTTGTTATGGTGATGTTTGATGGCTTTGCTGTCCTCCCTGTGCTATCTCAGCACTGTTCTCAGCGTGTGGCCCATCTAAGTCCATGCTATCTGCTCAACAGGGACCAGTGTGGCCCAGTGCTAGGCCTGGCTGGTCCCTTTTTTTGTTTTCTGTTCCCATTGCTCTTTCCACGTCTCCTTCACCTCTCTGTTCCCCTCTGGCCCCACCTCCCCCTACCTTCTCCTTCCACCAACAAGAGCTTTTGGCTGCCTTTATTGCCCCATCCTGGCCCTGATGTGCTCCAGAAGAACACATCCCATGGCATGTCTACTGCTTTGAGCTCCTGTCCTGGTACGGGGGGTGCGTGTGGGTGGCTAGCAGGGGCCCGGGCAAAGCGTGCTGGGGCGGGGGATTAGAGAGGCTCAGGATGCGCTCGTCCTCCCCGCCAGCTCAGTCCTTCTTGAAGGCAGGGCTGTAGAGGTTGGTGTAGTAAGCCCGGCTGTACATGGCCTCGGGGCTGAAGCGGTAGGAGCCTTCGCTCACCCGCCTGTTGTAGGGAGCGAAGGCGGATTTCCCTGGGAGGGG